TAGAGGTGGAGAGTGCCAGCAAGATTCCTTAAATGACCTGGCAAGTGGTGAGTGCCAGCTAAGTACTGTAAATGTAAACAGATTTATTATACGACTGAAGTATGACTTCTGATGAACGAACAGACACAAAATTATACCGGGTAAATCCCCGTTTTTGAACTTCATTCAAACATGGACTAAATATTGCACTTTGAATATGGATGTACCCTTTAGTAAAGTGAACATGTGTAAATGCCCATATTCAGCCAGTAATATGTACAAGTCATCACATTATAGCAGGACCAACAAATTAAAACATCTTTTATTTTGAGATGATGGAGATTAATCATATGATACACATGTGATAACAAATCAGTCAAAATAAATGTGTCAACTTAAATTGCAGTTTGCAACAAAAGGGAGCTGTGTTTTATCAGAGTTTGTTCGTAGTTTTTAGTCTAACTAATTGTGTAGAACTAAATGAATACACAAAAACATGAATTTTGTCATATAATTTTAACAAATATGATGATTCAATTTTGGCTAAAATAGAGAAGTACATCAAAGAGCACTTAGACATCACCTGACTCAGTCAATGAGATCACCTGGCTCAGTGGGAGGTCAACAGATTCAGTGAAGTCATTGATGCTAGCTACAAAATAAATAACCAGTCTACTCACTTCTCTAGATTTCCAGAGAGCGAATATTCCAATAGGCCAAAAACACAAGACTGTTGAAATTACGGCTAATATAAAATAATCACTGGGTATTCTCCACGCTGGAACAGGGCTGCCATATGTGTATCTTGTAGGTTCATCTCTCACCTATAAACAACAATATGGTAAATATGGTCCTTACATTTAAAAAATACAATGGAATCAAAATGACTACATAGATATATTGTACGACACTTGGTTTCAGATATTTCTGCTTTCATGAGTGTTTCTTTAAGCTTTAAATCACACAGAAATAACTGATGAATGTAAAATTGAGAACCAAAAATGCATCAATGAGTGTCACATGATAGTAGATAAAATAATCGCAGCTATCACCAGACAAAACAGTTTATGATGATACAGTGTATGCTGTGTGTGGTAACAGAGTATGAGAATAGATGCGAAACACACTAATAGAACAAAAGCAGAATCAAGACTTGGTTGTGGAAATTTGTTTTAAATAATATTTTTTGTTTGTTTACTTAGCAGTCACATGACATTGAATTAGATCAAAAATTACCCAGAATTTTAGGAAGTGTGAAACAAGAGCTTTAATAAAATATATAGTTTACTATAGTTCAGGACAATTCTTATATGAAAATATCAAGCCTAATTATAACATCCCTGTTAGGTCTACTACAACCTTAAAGGGCAGTGGTCATCACACCTTGTTCCATATGGGTCCCATAGCGAAGTATACGATGCATCTTTAAA